GCCTTGTCCTGTGGAGCGGAGTCGCCTCGAAAAGGGCCCTTGGCGCGTGGACCACCGTTCACGGGGGCACCTCCCGAGAACTGGTCCTCGAAGGCCTGGTGCATGGAGGGGACTGTGGCAATGGCCTCGGTCTCGTGTATGGTCGCCCGAATCCAGCAGACGTGGTCGGCGGGGTCGATGGTGGCGACGGCTACCTTTTCCGTGCAGGCGACCTCCTTGGTGCCCAGCTGGTACACGATCACGGGGACGTGCGTGTGGACCACTTTGGGCGCCTTGGGGTGGCGCTTCAGGACGGGGACGGCGAGCTCGGTACCGACGTAGTTGTCGTTTTTCGGGCCCATGACAGCAATCGCGAGCTGGCCCGTGGCTCGCTTGCCCTGCCCGAGGTGGTGTTGCAGCAGCCGTTCGCCACTCTCGAAGTCGTGGAGGCTGATGCTGGGCTTGTACGTCTTGCCGTCGTCAGGCGAGGTGGGTTCGGCAAGAACAGGGACCTTCCAAAAGGCAGGGTCCAAGGCGATGAATTGGGTGTCCGCAGCCTGAAGACGTGCGGGGCCCGATGGTGGGTGCGATGTGTCACCGCCAGTGCGCTTAGGCTTGCTGCGCTGGTAGTGGTCGAGCGTGTAGCTGATCTGGTTGGCGGCGCACATGCGGATAAGGGCGCTGCCAAGCTTCTTCGTGTTGGACTTGTGCATGTCGTACTTTGCCTGGAGCTCGTCCGCGTTCAGTTCGGCTAGCCCGTTATAGGCGGCCGTGGGGCGGTCAGACCCCGCTTGCCTGAACGCTGCGATGCAGTCCTGCTTGCGTTGAAGGAGGGACCCTTCAGCAGCAGGGCGCGTGGGGCGGGAGCTCGGAGGCTGCTTTGAAGAGTGACGGCGCTCCGGCTTCTTGGGGGCCATTGCTGCGGGCACTCTGGTGCGGAGAGGTGACGCGAATCAGTAGGGTCCTGCTGGGACCCCTCCGGTCTCGCGAGGCCTGGGAGTCTGACTCCGAGGCGGGGCGCTTCGCGTCGTAGCTGCGGTCTGAGTGCAGAGCACTCTCGAGCCGAGACTAGAGAGAGAGAGAGAGAGAGAGAGAGAGAGAGAGAGAGACAGAGACAGAGAGAGAGAGAGAGAGAGAGAAGAGAGAGAAGAGAGAGAGAGAGAGAGAGAGAGAGAGAGAGAGAGAAAGAGAGAGAGAGAGAGAGAGAGAGAGAGGGATGGGACTTCCCCCCTGGGCCCTGGGCCCTAGGCATCCCCTCTCGCTCCGACTCCGTGGTACTGTGTCGCGTGCTGTGGTTGCGGGTCCCTTGGAGGCGCGGCGCCTGCGGCGTCACTCGAGGCGGAGCGGTAGATCGGCTGTCGGGGGTGTGGCGCTTGCTGGGCCGTGGTCTGATTTCGTGACCAAGGGTGGTTGGCTTGGTTGCCGCCGGCAGCTTTTTCCGCGAGTCTTGGGCGGCGTCTTGCCCCCGACAGTCATCGGTAGCCCCTGGAGTTCTCGCGTGGCCTGTCTGGGGCGCCTGGGTCTCGGGGGGGGGGGGGGGGCTGGCCGAAACGAGCGGAGTTTGTCAATCATTGTGCTCGACGTCTCACATAGCATTGTGACTGCAAGGCTGCCGTGCAACCTGCTTGCGCTATCTTGGCGCCCTCTTATTCATTGTTTGCGCCAGTGTGGTCATCGCCCATCCAACAAGTGCCATCCGCCCCTTTCCCCCCACCGCACCCCCGCCACTCCCGCAGTCATTCAGCAGCAGCCCTGCGCGCTAGAGTCGCCCGCGAGAACAAGGTGGAGGGGGGGGGGGCGAGGGGGTGACCACATTGGAGCATACTGCTACAAGTAGCTGAGATCCAGAGCTCGAACCATGGCCCGTGTCTCCATGCGTTTGCAGGTGTATGTCTTTCTTATGCAGTTCATGTGGTCTCGGTGTGAGCTTGCCGTTGTCGAACTGGACGGGAGCAGCTCTACGATCGCAGAGATGAGCATGGCGAGTTTCATGAACATTTTTTTCGTCATGAGTTGCGCGATCAGCTTCGTGATCGGATTCGGTCTCGGGTGGAAGTTCAGAACGTTGTTTGAGCCAGGTGTGAAGGAGATCAGGGAGGAGAAGCATGACGAAGATACGCGCTCTGACTCGGACGTCAAACCGGTACCCAATGGCCTCAGGAAGACAATCAACTCACGCGATGCCAACGTGATTCGACAGTTTACCATCAACGACTTTCGCCAACGGGCATCTAGGATGAACGGAGATACGTCGGGATCGAAAGAAGATCTAGTGAGCAGGCTCATCCAGATGAGGGAGCTCGAGCGCAGCAGCCAGCACCTTTTAGCATTTTATTATGCTGCAATTAGATGTGTAACACTTCCTATCATGAGGAGGCGTGCTCAGATATTGGTAATTGAGGATGCGGTTGCTGGGGGCTGGGCCGAATTAGAGATATGTCGCCCAGGCTACATGCCAAGTGATTTGCATGGCGGTGTTCGGGTATTGCTTACTGCCAACGCGCAGGCATTGTCGAAACATCCATTGTGGAACGGTGTCGGGGCGAGCCGCTTTTGATTGAACAAAACATTGGGTGTTGGCCTGTGGCCCGTGGCCCGCGCGCGGTACCATGGTTTGGCAGTTGCGTCCTAAATCCTAAGCTCCTAAGCTATAAACCATGAGGGCCAGCGAGGTTTGGTGTCCGAGCTCGTGGGTTGCGGGGCCCCAAGGGCGCGCCTCCGTCGCAGCCTGCTTGGCTCGAGGCGCGTTGTTTCAGCCCACGAGCAAGTGGTCAGTTGGGCACGGTGTGCATATACATTTCCGACCGTTGATCGGTCAGCTAGCCGCGTCGGCCATGGGTGGGTCGGCTCGGCGCGTGCCGACGCATCCCGCGGCGCAGAACCCAGAGGTTTGTTTTTCCAGAAATTTCGATTTGTTTCAATTTATGTTTTATTTCAGAAACTTGTGCTGATTGATGATTTGCTCTGAAACATTTCCCGTGCGGGCTACGTGTTTATATATATATATATATATATTAGAAAAAATCTTTAGCGCGTTGCGTCACGCGTGTGATCGCAAGCGGGCTGATGAGTTCCGCAGCGCGTTGGGCGCGCGCGTCGCGAGCGCACTCGCGCGTATGCACATGTGGCGTTTCTGTTGTGTTTGCGCGGGTGCGCGCGGCCATCGCCAGCGCGCGCGCGTTTGAGGATCGCCGGCGTTCCGAGTGCAAGTCGCGCGCGTTTCGAACCATATGATTTTGAGACAAACGTACCGAGTGCCAAAATGGCCACGCGCGAGGAGGAGGAAACGGAAAAGGAGAAACAAACTTGAGGAGGAAGAGGAGGAGGAGGAAGAGGAGGAGGAGGAGGAGGAGGAGGAGGAGGAAAAGGGAGGGGGAACAGGAAGGGGAAGAGGAAGTTGAGGAGGAGGAGGAGGTCTCGAGGAGGAGGAGGAGGGGGAGGAGGATGATGAGGAAGAGGAACGATACCGAGGAAGAAAACCATTCAAGTGTCCTTATTTAATTTCAATACCAGATGCTTACATTATTGTTACCAGTTGCTTGCCAGCAGGATGTCTCCAGCGGGAGCCCTGGTTCCGAGAACATGCTAATCCCACCAGCCCTTTGGGCGTCGGTGGTATCTAGAGTTTCCTCTTCCACCCCTCCTTCTTCCCCTTCGGGGACGGGTTTACCCCTCCCCCTACCTCATCCCCTGGACCTGGACGGGGGGTTCCGCGAGTCGTCGGAGCGTCCGCAACGGCCTCGGCGAGGAAGCCACACTCATTGGTTTCACCAGGGTGTTGGCCCCATGTTGGCTTCCTGATGGGGGGCCTGTAATTGGCGCCCCCCCCCCTGTGATCGATCTTGCCCAAGATGGTCCAAAGATGGCCCCCATGGCCCCCAAGGGTGTCCCAAGAGGGCCCCAAGCGGTGGCCAGGAAGCCCCAAGAGGCACCCAGGATGCACCCAGAAGGCCCCCAAGAGACCCCCAAGATGCCCCAAGGGACCCCCCAGAGGCACCCAAGATGCTCCAAGAGGTCTCGGCGAGAATGCCAAATCATTGATTTTACTAAGGTGTTAACCACATGTTGGCCTCTTTTTTTTGGGGGGGGGGGGGGGGGGCACTGGTTAAGATGACTCCAGGAGCGCCTGGGCGAGCCGAAGATGACCTCCAAGATGGCTCAGGGTATCCCAAGATGTCTCAGAATGGCTTCCTCTGTGTGCTGCCCGCTGCCCTGATCGAGGCAATTCCTCTGGGCATCGTTTCTAGGTGGGCTGGTGGGGATTCGCGAAGCGCCAACAATAATCCACAAGCGTGGCGATCGTGTCGGGCCGGCGAAGCCTCGATCTTAATCAGATGGAGCAAACATCCACGCCTAAATGTTATCAACATGGGCATGTTCGATTGTTCGACAACTCGATCCACCGACGCAGCGTCTGCACTCGTCTCCTGCCGCCGCCCTCGCACCGTGTCGGGGCCGTCCGACGCCGAGTTGTTCAACCGCAGGCAGATAGGTACAGCACAGGCGATGGCCACGAGAGCATGCAGCCGAAAACTCGTAAGTAAGTAAGTTGCTCAGCGCTCTCTTGCATACAGCGTGGCGTGCACTAAGAAGCGTTCTTGTTTCTCCCCTCCCCATGTTCCCCATCACTCGGTTCCCTCCAGCCCACTCCACCACCCCCCAGCATCTCGCATCATTCCCTCTCGAGCCTCACCGATGGGCTCGAGAGACGCCTGGCGGCATGCGCTTCAAATTAACGCAAATACGTGGATGGTGCTTGAGTTGCATCCTCCTCTCTCCCTCCTCCTGCCCTCCTCCTCGTGCCCTCCTCGTTCTCTCGCTCTTCGTTCCCGCGTTCCTCATGCCCCCTAGTTCCACTCATCATAGCATCACCAATCCACTTTGTTTTAGCGGCTGAGCCGCCACGCATAACAGCAAATTGGCATGGTCGAAATCTCGGAAAAGCTCACCCACTCCACAGTTCAGTCAAGCTCTACAACTGACGGGGGCGGAACGTCAATGCGATCCATTAGGCAGCGCGCCATCGTGATGCCAATGGCGCCAACAGACATCGCGTTGCCCGTGGCTGCAAGCACTTTGCTCGCAGGGATCTCGACCACCTCGGGAGAGAATCCCTGCAACATGAAACGCTCCACGGGTGAAATATAGCGATAGAATTCGTTATCATGGCCAACCTTGAACACGAAAAGATGGCGGTTGCGAGTTGTGAGGGTGGGAACGAGACCGTCGTTCCTACTCTGCAGGCGGGTCTTCTGCTTTGAGTGAGACCGGCTCAAGTCGCACACTGCGATTGTTCCTCTTGGGTCCTTAGCATGAACCTTCTTATAGTATGCGAGATTCGCCTTCTGCTTCTTAGTCAGCTTGGCGTCCTCGCGCGGAAGACTAGGGTCAAGCACTGCCTCGAGCGTGATCCCTTTCACTTTGAATTGACCCGGCTGCAGATCTGGCTGAGGCATCGAGAAACGATCGACCTTCCTACCGCAAATGTACAGCCGCCAGCGATTCTGAGGAGATCCTAGTGCAGCTGTGCTGACCTTCCAAGTCCAAACCTTCCACTCTGGCCCGAGCTTACCGATGAGCCAGTTCTCCACAAATTGGACTGGAATGGGGCCCTTATCTTTCGCATCTGCCATGCCCAGAACATTTTCGATTATAAACACTTCTAGCACAGAGCCCTGTCTCTTAGCCTGATCCTCAATACAATCCAAAGTCTTGCTAAACACATTCGCGCGGGAGTCCGCCCAACGGGCCTGATCGCCGCTGCGGGCAAAGGGCTGACAATTCGGCCCTGCGATGACCATGTGAGCGTTGGGGAGCTCGCTCAGGTTCACCTGGGCTGCCGACGCAAGGTCGCACCCGATGTGAGCGCCCTCCAACCCACGAGCAGAATCACACAACCTATCCGAACGAAACCTACTCAACACGTACCCGTAATTTACCCGACACTTACCCGACATGGACCCGAAACTCACCCGAAATGAATGGCGCGCAGGAAGGCGAATGGCGGAGATGAAGAAAGGCAAGCAAGAGCAAGGGGGGATTGAGAGGGAATGACAATCTAATAATGCCAGCGCGTGGACCCCGAACGATTGAAGTCTGTAGAGTGCATGTGTTTTGTCATGCGCGCCTTCTCGGGTACCAGGCTCACACGCGCTGCCAACTATAATATAGACCAGCCAGGCATCATTTGGATAACACAGGGCTAGACTTATTTTCGGGCACCCTCCTAGGGAGACACGGGCCCATTGGGGCACGTCTGAGGACACAGAAAGCCACAGGAGGCGACGCGAGGCCGCGTCCTCGGAGCTGGATCCCGCTGACCCGCAGGTCGGGATACAAACAGGAGGCGAAGCATTTGTGGCCGACACGGGGCCTGTGGGGCGGGAGGTTATGAGAAGCTACACGAGGCCGTGGCCCGCCTTGTGCGCAACTCCACGGCCAAACAAGCAACGCACGTCAAACATTTCGCAGCGGCATTCGAGCCCCTGGAGTGCGAGCGCCGTCTGGGGATGCACAACGAGCGGCTATGTACATTTATGTATTTACATACATGTGTATAGCTATATATATATGGGAGACAGAGACATGGAGAGAGGAGGAGCGGCACATATATATATATACACATACATACATATATATATATAACAAGAGAGGGGAATGCAGCGATGCGTGTATAGATATATGTATATTATATACAAATAGAAAGTAGTAACACACCGAACACGAAATAACCGCACAAGTTTAGGGCAGGTGGATGGCGAACAAGGGAAGGTGGAACGTGCACGAAGGGCGCGATGAGAGAAGGATCTTAAGGATGGCGACGGTGCAGTGCACAGGTAGTGTGAAGCTTCTGACCCCATGGCCCGTCCTCAATGACTAGGCGGGTAAGTTTCGGGTACATGTCGGATGCGTTTCGGGTGCGTTTCGGGTACGTTTAGGGTAAGTGTCGGATAAGTTTCGGGTAAGTTTCGGGTAAGTTTCGGGTTAGTTTCGGGCATGGTTCGGGAAGTATCGGGTAAGTTTCGCCCCGGCATCTCCTTATAGCTGGCCTGCGTGAAGTCGGATGGGATGTGCACGTGCGCGGGGTCGCCATTGGCCACCCAGACAGCCTGCTCCCGCAACCAGGCCTCCTTGTCGTAGCAATGGCTCTGCACGTGGATGTTCATCTGGGACGGGCGGGGAGGCGAAGGAGGTAATGGACGGCTATTGCGTCTCCTCCTTCCTCATCCCTCCTCTTCCCAACGTCATCGCTATTCCACCTCGTCTTTCCCCTTGCCCTCATCATCATCCTCTCCCTCCACCTCCTCTCTTCTTCTCCTCCTCCGCCCCCTCCTCCTCTTCCTCCTCCTACTTCCCATTATGCAGCACTAGGCGTATCAGTCTAGTTTACTTTTGGGCGTGGATAGTAATGTTGTACCGCGAGCCACAAAAGATTTATGTATACATGTTGACTAGAACTCAACAGCGTGAGGGAATGTACCAACCAACTCCTCTGCCGCCATCTGCCGTGATGGGGGGTATTTCACAATTCCTGGCCCCTCCCCTATCTCTATTTTCCCCTCGCCCCGAAATGTCGGGGCCCTTCTCACAAGTTGCCCTCTCCTCCAACCGACGTCTCGGCGCGATTCAAACTCGGGGCCTCCTTGAGCGCAATCGTCGCAGTCTCCAAGCCGCAGCGCGGGGCCACGACCGTGATGCTCTTGGGGGGGGGGCCGCCGCAGTCGTTCAGAGTCGTCTTCGCCAACTCCTCGGAGGGGTGGGGGCGCGGGGCCGCGAAGGAGGGCGCCTGCAGTGAAAGCTGAATTGGGGAGCTTGGGAAAAAAAGCGAAGCCCAGGAACCAGGCCGGACGACTTTTGCTTGCCACTCCTCGTTCGCCATCCTCCTCCTCAGCTTCCTCCAGCTCCTCTCCATCTTCTCCAACGCCTCCTTCTTCCCTACCTTGCCCCCCTCTTCCCCTTGCGCCACCTCCCGACTGTTTCATCCGCCTCCTCCTTGCCCTGCCAGATCCTCCATCGCCCTTCCCATTTTGGATTGGAAGAGCTGTCCTGCCAGTCGCCATTGTGTTCGTGGAAGTCGGTGATGCTCTTCTGCTTGAGGGCCAGCTGCAAGCCGAACTTGCCGATGCCCTTGATCTTCGCGGTGATCCGCTTTTTGAGGCGCAGCTTCTGCATGGCTCGCGCCTGCCAGATGTTTGTTTGGGGCGTGCCAGGGCCAGGGGGGCCGCTCGAATGCGGGACGCGCGGGGATCTAAAGTGGGGGCCAGGGCACCAGGTCTGCAACGTTAAACGCCACGTTGGCCAGCTGCAACCAATCAGAAGAGCACCGAGACACGGCCCCAGGAGGCCCTGCGCATAAGAGTGACTTTCGGCGCGGGCCCAAGTGGGGCCACCTCAGCACTTGCTTGCACCCGCCGCCCTTCTTCAGATCATAATGTTCTTCGTTTTCATATGTCTCCTCTTCTCGTTATCCGTCCTTCTTTCCCCTCCGCTCGTCATCGTTATCCTCCTCCTCCTCCTCCTCGTCCTCCTCCTCCTCCTCCTCTTCCTCGCCATCCGCATCCTCGTGCTCGCCCTCCTCATCTTACTCCTCCCTACATCCTTATCGCGATTATGCTAGAATGATTGGTGATCTGGTGGATGATTGTATGTGTCACAGCGCAGCAAGCGCTGAATTCTTCTTGACCAGGGGCAACAGGCGCGACCTTTGAAATATGCTCAATTCCCAATTGGCCTTGTGCGACGCGGCAGCCATCTGAGCGAGGCAGAGGTTAAGTGTTTCATCCAGAAACGTTGAATAGCAACGGGGGGTGCCTTGCGAGGAAATCCTTTGAGTGATGCGCACAAGCATGTGCGCCTTTGGCAAGAATCTGCACCCCGAATCCTCCATTAATGCCAGGTGCCGAAGGCACAAATACATAAGTTGTTGGCAATATTCCCCTCCAATCTTCAAGTCGCGACTGCGGAGAATTGTCATGTAGTCTATCAAAGCCACCCCCGCCGCTGCAAAAGTTGCGCGGCCTGGAAACGCCAATCCACCTGGCTCATTACAGTAGTGTGTCGCCCACCGAAGCAATACTCCTGTCTCCGCAGCTTTCGTTTTGAATTCAGGTTTCTTTTTCCCTTGGATCATACGTGGTGTCAGCTGAGCCAGTTGGTAGCTGACGTCAATGCGTTTTTTTTGTCTGCCCATGATTTGTAGTCACTGAGAATACGTTTAAGAGATTCTGCTCGCGCAACTTCCATCGGCCCAGTTATATCGCACACGTTGGCATTGATGACAGCAAGTATAACCCCCAAGACAAGTGTTTGGAATAATCCCAAATATAAGGTGTGCAGCGTATCCAGGTGCAACACGGTGTGGGGTGTCGTGCCGAGCTTCGGCGTGAACAAGGGGTTCCGACGCAATGTCCACGATGTGTTGCGCCTCCTCGCGTCTCTGCGCACCCTCCAGAACGTGCGACGAAATGGGAGATCGCGCGTTTCAAACCTGGCTGTGTCCATCAATTCTGGGCCTGGCTCCAACCTGTCGCCTCGCTGGAGACGCAATGCAGGAAGGTCTGCACCAAGCGCGCGTCCGAGTGCCTGGCGGTCCTTCGAGTAATGAAGCAAGCCGATCTCAAGAATCCAGGAGCGGGTCACTTCTGTCACTGTTACTTCGATCTCGTGGCTGCTGCACTCGTCTAGGTAGCCGCGCTCTCGTTCGCCCCAGGAGGAAAACGTCAACCCGAGATTCGTGAAATTGAATAAAAACTCCTTGTTGCATGCACACAGAAAGTAAGGCGAATGATAAGACGACCACGTTGGGAACACCAGCGTGCTGCTCAGCTCGACCCAATCAGCTTTTATTTGAACCAGAAGGTACCGCGCGCTCAAATCGCGCGACGCCAGCTCCACCGAAACTGATTCTTCCGGCCACGGGCTCCCGTCCCAGTGGTGCACAGGTCTGGTGCCATTCGTTGCCGCCTGGATCCCGCTAAAGATCGGAACAACAAACATGTGTGAGGATTGCCGCGAGAGTACCCATCCCCTTCCCCTATACTATAGGGGAGGGGGAGTGGTACTCTCACGAATTGAAGGATCAGCTGGTTACCTCGGCCTTCAATTATCCTGCTCACTTGTGACGGTGTTGATATCGACATTGAGTTCGATGATGATTGGTAATTTCCTCTCATCGATCCCACTCCTCGTTCCTCCTGCCCCCCCTCTCTGCTACGTGTGCCCTCACTTCCCCTGCCGCCCTCGCTTCCCTGTGCCACTCCATTTGTTCCGATCTGTTAGCTATGCCGCGCCTCCATAGACCATCGAATGTATTCGAAAACAGGATATATCGTGTCCCAGCCGCGGCAGCCGCACTTGCATTGTTCTCGTTTGCTCTGCGCAGCAATGATGTGTCTGGAGTTCGTGCACAAATCCGACCAGCCCTTTGGGCGGTGGTCTAGCGATGGTCTCTTTCCTCTTCCACAACCCCTCTCCCCCTTCGGGGAGGGGAACCCCCCCATCCCCATCCCCGAGTTTTTTTTTTTTTTGGGGGGGGGGTCGCGAGGTGTCGGGAGCTTCTTTTTCGGCCCTTGGGAGGGCCAATGGTTGACACCCTCGCGAGGATCGTGGCCTCCGAGGGGGGGGCGGAACTCTAGGGCCTCCCTTCTTTTGACCGGCCGCCTCCAGCATGGCCCTAAGATGCGCTCCAAGGCTCCCAAGATGTCCCCAAGAAGGCTCCAAGAGCGCCCCAAGAACAACAAGAAGACTCCAAGCGGTACCCGAGGGGCCCCCAGGAGGTCCCCGAGCGGCCTCAGAGATCCCAAGATGACATCCAAGATAGCTCAGATAGCCC